TTGCCGGCCGGCGTCCGTAGTTTTTTTTCGCAAGGGTTTTCCACGTAAAAATTTGTGTCTCCGTTGTGCATCTATTTCATAACATGGATTGCTTCACAAGCCCGCCATCCTCTTCAAGCTCCTCCAGAACTATGTGTCACCTCTCCTAGCTCTAGCTTCACCTTCCTTGACAAGTTTTGCCTCTTACGCCTCAATATCGATCCCACGCCGTCTGCCACAGTGGATGAACTTGGTCACCTTTCCATACCTTAGTTCTTGGCCTCTAGTGTAATTGCCCACTATGACGAAGTTAAAATCGATGGTGATTTCTTAAACTTCTCTTCATTTTTAAGTTGACGGTGATTTTTAGAAAAATGTGGTAGTTGAAGGTGGTGATAAAACGGCTCTTATCCCAATTTTAGATACACGGACTGTACCATGACCTGTAAAAGAAAACGGAGGTAACATTATAAATAGGTAAACATGTTGTGTGCAAATTAAAAAGCTAGGCATTCCATGCAATTTGTCAAGATTCGAGATTGCCCGTGCAACGGTGCAAGCCAGCAATCGCGATGAGACATGGCATGTGAGACAAAAATATTTGGACACGAGTTTTTGTGGCTATATATGCGCGACTAATTATAATCAGGTCGTCTTCCCTGTAGATCAGGGCTCGGTCTAGTGAGCAAATCGATCACTGTAAACAAATGTCACTAATATGTTAGTGAAGTGGAGTATATGATGCAGTCCCCGTTGATGCTAGTAGAGCAACAGACTATAAACCAGCTATAAATATATTTTAAGAAGATAAAAAAAAAGATAAAAGTAGCGGGCTACATACTTATAGCCAGCTGCAGCACGGACTTTAAAACGTATGTGTGTATGATATGTGGGACCAGATATTGATTGTGTAGTATATTTATATATAACTATTGTGTAAATTGATTATTAAGTTAACTATAGATGACATCTATAAAGTTAGAAATTGGCTATTCTATTAAACTTGCTCGTACTAGTAGCTATGCCTAAAACTTTGGGTTATGTAGTGATCGATTTAATTGATAGAGTTGCACTACCTCGAGCCAGCCGTATCTTGTCCCCTCTTCCAACAACCACATGAACTCAGATCAAATACTAGAGCCCTAGTTGTAGTTAACTAGTGGAGTATACTGTACTAGTACTACTATTAGCAGGTTTTTTCGTTGATGAACACTACACGATCTGATCATTGATTTAGTATAGGCTTAATTAGTGTTTAGACACTCAAGTACTACAATACTCCTACATTGGAAGCTGATCGAACAAACAAATCTTGTACACATGTCCACTGGAATATTGTTACTATGATCATAATTAAGCAGGTTCATGATATTAAAGACTCGAGATTTAATTAGAAGACTAATTAAGTACACAACGACACTGTCTGCTAACAGTTTGGTTTAATTTGCAATAATTCGTGACCGGCCTATTACGATGACCATGATGTCTCAACGCCAGTCGCAGCAGCAGTACAGTACACTACTGGTGGCGACATAATATGTCAGCATCTGTGATCTTGTTCATCTCATCTCATCACTTGCAGGGATCAGTGCCCCCTACACCATTCATCATGTACTCCCATAATTAATTAATTGAGACCTATTTAAGCTAATGGTATTATTAATTATATATTTGATTAGTACATTGGAGTACGTAGAATTCTACTGTTGCAAACCACGCCGATGCGTGCTATCGATAGGAGTAAAATACTGTCCGCGAAGTCTGAAACTTGCACAGTCTTTGACGCATGCTTGCAGGTCTTCAGAAACCACAAGTTCAGAAGAACCCATCATCCGGCCGGCCATTATTTTAATCTGCCAATATTCCGTACGCTGTCAAAAGAAGAAGAAAGAACAGTCGAACAATGTTGTACAGCTCGATCCGCAGAATCGATCAGAGTTTAGTACTTACTACTATAATTGTTTAGCATGTAGAATTGATTAGAAGTAAGCACTAAAAGTTCAGAGGAAGTCAAGGAAGTTCAGAGGAATCAATTAACTTGCAGATTAATTCAACAAAGCTACCAGCTGATATATGCTCCTAATGATGATGATTGCCATGATCATAAACTTTAGATTCTTCCATGCTCCATGGTGAAGTCTTAAGCTAGTTTGGCTGTTTATATTAGGGCCTACACATAGGTCCTGATTGGATCCGGAGGGCTATTAAATAGCCCTCCGGAATCTTGCTATTTAGGAGTATTAAATGTAGATTACTGACAAAACCCATTACATAACCCTTAGGCTATTTTGTGAGACGAATCTAACGAGGTATAATAATCCATGATTTGCTACAGTGATGCTACAGTAATCAGTCGCTAATCATGGATTAATATACATCATTAGATTCGTCTCGCAAAATAGCCTAGGGGTTATGGAATCGGTTTTGTCGGTAATCTATGTTTAATACTCCTAAATAGCAAGATTCCGGAGGGCTATTTAATAGTTCGGAGGATCCAAACAAGGCCATAGTTAAAGTTCAGAAAAATGATTGTCCTTTTATCTGAAGAAGTATGTACTACTACTGTTGCATGCAATGAACACGTACATGAGAGAGTAGATGGATCTGATCGATACTGCTACTGATCATCCAGCCTTGCAAATTATCCAAGGACAGGACAGGGAGACAGAAACCAATCAATCAGACGAGAAGATTTGCGACTCGACGAACGGCCGGCCGCCATATAGGCAGGATTCCAAACAAGGCCGCGGTGATACCGTTGGGTTCTCAAAACCGCGCTTTTAATTTGATTCATCTGCTCGCCAATTAATCTTCCAATCTTTGATCTGTACTGCTCCAATCCACTGTTCGTATAGTATTAATTTTTAGTAATTTTTAGCTCGCCTTGGCTACCCATCTTAGTAGAGAAGTAAAGAGAGAGAAGAATGGTACTCTTCTCCTATCATAAATACTAATTGATTTAGCATAAATTTAGATCATTTTTACTGGTACTTTGATACGTCATCCCTGTTTCAGTCGATTTCTAAGTCCGTTCTCTTTTAGAAATAAGAAGAAGTCGTATAAAAAATCTCTTTAAAAAACTCGTATGCTAACTTGAGACGATTGGACTTTTAATTGCAGCTTACAATTTTATAAAAAAAATCCAAGCGAACAACAGTAATAATATTAAAATAGCCCTTCACCCACTGCAACACACGGGCATTTTTTTCTAGTTATGATAAATATAAAAGGTTTTGTTACTATGGCAATGCCTTCTTAAGGTGAATCTCTGTAGTGTAACATTTTGATTTTATCACAAGTCAAACCTCTCTGACTTTAATCTTGTTTATAGAAAAAAACATCAACATCAACACATACTAAATTAGATTTTATCAAAACCATCATGAAATATGTCTTGACATTGTATTTATCTGTTAGTGCATTTTTCTATAATTCAGTCAAAGTTAGAGAATCTCACTAAAGACAAAAAGAATAATTTTCAATATGAAACAGATGTGGTGTATATTTGATAAACTATTGATCAAATGCCAAAATATTTATAACCACAGTAACAGAATAGCAGTAAGGCAAAGCCATACGATACGACGACAGTCAGCATCTATCGTTTGACCCGTATATAAATGCATGGTACGAACGCTAAAAAACCAGCGTTACTACTTGATGAAATTATTGATCAGATTGGCAGTAGCTAGGCATGCTTTCATTTGATGGGTTTTTTTTTTTACTGGCATAGGATTCGCCGGAGTTGAGGTGAAACTTGTGTTCTTTGTACGGCGTGTCCGGCCAACAAAAGATGGGCAGCGTTGAGAGCCAATGCAAGGCAAAAGGGTTGAGTTTTTATCGGCAGATATGGAGGCCGGAATGGCGCAGGGCGGTCGGTCGGCCGGCCGGATTCGCGCGTCGGAGCATGGGTCACTACTCACTACTGTAGTCCCTTTTTTCCCTCTGCAAAATCCAGCCCTGCAACCTGCATCATTCCTGCTCTCATGTTCTATGGCTTCTTGCTGATTCGTTCAAAAAAAAATGCATTGTACTACATTTGTAGCATGAGTCTAGCTCTGTTTTGAAAACGCGGGATTGAAAAAACAGATGAATAGAATTTTTTTTTAAGATTTTGCTAGGAATACAAGTGCAAAATATAAAGTTCCGAAAACGGAATGATCGTTTGGTTAGGAGAAAACGTAGGAATCGGATAGTAAAAGATATAGACTCAAAGGGAATTTTCCAAGAGGTTAGAGCTCTTGCTAACCTTTTCTCCAAAATCTCTCTCTCTCTCTCTCTCTCTCTCTCTCTATATATATATATATATATATATATATATATATATATATATATATATAGTAAATTTGTTTGGTGCTCCATGGTGCCCGGGCACCATTGTTGAAATTGAGTATATACCCAATTCAAATGAGTATGAAACTTTTTCAATTACTTAGGTATTAACATTAACTACTTTACTAACTAGTTTAAAGCAAGTTTGAACTGAATTTGAACTTGTTTTTGTTAGATTTTGATTCTAGGTATATAGCATCCATACATATAATTAGTTAGGTATGTAATCATGGATTGTGAAATAAAGTTAAATTTGAGTTGTTTTGTTGATAAGTATAGGTATGAATCAAATTATTATAACTAGGTATATACTCACAATTTAAAAATTTTGAAAAATTTGAGTGATTTTGTGCATTAGATACCATGGTGTCCGGGCACCATGGTGCCCCATATGAGTGTCCTATATATATATATATATATATATATATATATATATATATATATATATATATATATATATATGTCATTCCATAGGAACTTCAAAGGAAAGGAAATGATTCAACCCTTATAAAGGATTTCATAGGAATTTTTCATATAAGATTGAAATCCTCCAAATTTACTATGTTTTTTTTTTTACAAGTCAAAGGGGTCTAGTAGTTAGAATACCTTATAGCTAGAAAAAAACAGAAGAGGATATTAAGTTACATGCACCAGATAGTTCACATGAAAGTTTAAACTGAAGCATAAGCTGAGGAGAAAAGATAGACAATTTACTTGTATTTCAATAGAGGACGATACATTGAGATGGATAGCTTAACATATTACATATCTGACAATAAAAAATGGCCTTCCAGAACTGTTGTTGATACAAACCAGAAGATAACAAATCAAATTTCAAATACTGAGATGGCTGAATATGGCGGCCCTTGTTCTACAAGTTGGGTCATCTCAGATGTTGAGGTAAAAGATATCAGTGATTCCATTAGACAAAATGGGGTATTGCATCAGCTTCACAGAGCAAACTACAAGCCTATACATCTGCTAAAAAAATATGGTTACATCATTTTGTTTTGGCGTCACAGGATTGTGTACATACTATCTTCTACCACCATCTTTCTTCGAAAATATGCGCAAGTTTGCAGTCTGCCGGCGCCATTCATTTATAGGGACCTAAATTCAGTGGGCACAGCAAACATTTGTGAGTGAAGGAAAAAGTTAAACATGTAATGTCATAGCTATAAAATGAAAGGCTTACTGCTGGAAACCCGCCATAGTCACCGGGTTTCTGAATATCCTTTGTCACCGAACTATTTGCTGCAAGCCGAACCTGTAAATGGATTGAGGAAAAAAAAATTGAATGGTTAAAGGGCCTTTAGAGTTGGTCAAGGCTTAAAAGAATAGATTGAGCAATGTAGTTAAATTTGTAATACAGATAAACACAAAACTGAATAGAGACTGAAGTAGTATTAAATCATGTTAGCAGGAAGCTATGAAAAAAGAACAGAGATGGGAAAACAGCACCTTTGAAGCAATGGAGACGTGATCCCGAATTGCCACCCTACCACCCAAGGTTACATAGTCCCCCAATCTGTTGATACATGCCAATGACACAAGTTACTAAATCTCAAAAAGCAGGCAAAATAAACATTTAGTCAATGAGATGAAGGAATGCATACGTTGCAGAACCAGCAATTCCTGCTTGTCCACAAATCATGCAACACTTTCCAATTACTACATTGTGACCAATCTGCAAGAGGAACTGTCAATTTGGACAACAAGGGCGGCGGAAGTCCAATCACATTAAGCAGAATATCCAATACCTGAACAAGATTGTCAATTTTGGTTTCATCTCCAATTACTGTATCTCTCCAACTGCACTTAGTAAATAATGATGAAAATTTCCGCTCGCGGGTTAGGTTCAACCAAACATATATTCACAAAGAAAGAGCTGATATTACAAAATGTTTGGTATATTTAAATCAACCATGGAGTGGCCAAAGGAACATTTGCCATTTCAAGGCTGACAAATTACCTCCCTCTGTCAATACATGTATTTGCACCTATCTCCACATGATTTCCAATTTTTACATGCAACATCTGGAGAAGCATAAAGCTTTTCAACATATAGCCATATGATGTTTCAATTGAATCCAAAACAAAACATCTAAATACAGTCTATGAGAGTGATAGTCATCAAACATTTGTATCAGAAGTACTTCTCCCATGTCACTGGCATTTTCTCAGTTTCTTTTTTCTGTATCTCTGATACCAGGTAAGCACATTGGGTGAACGTGACAAATGAAGGACTGAGCATTTCCTTATCCTTTTAATACAAAATGAACCCTCTTTGCGATCCTAGAATATTTCAGCTAACCATTTCACTGCCCTTCCATTTGGAAACTACTAACTCATCATCTTCACAGAACGTTTACTAAGAAAAGGGTTGTTAGAGAGTACTAGCCTGCAGTTTCTTCTTAACCTGTCCATCATCCCCCACAAAGAAACCAAAACCTGAAACAGATGCATCAAACTAAATAGCATCAGGATGCAAGTTTTAATGCTTGATCGGAGTACATAAATCAATATCTACTGGAGCATCAAACAAGAATAGCATAAAAACAAAGGAAACCCAAAAGGTTGACATTTAAATAGATGGACTGGACTTCAATCCACAACAATAAATGTAATTGGGCAAAAGTAGTGAAATTCTGAAGACAGTTCACAAGTTGAGAATTTTTTTTCCTAGTTTGACATGTGTGCAGGTAGCAGAAAGAATCCAAGATTGCAGCAATCTTGCTAGTTACTAGTACCCTCACTGGCAGAAAGAGTCCAAGATTGCAACAGTCTTACTTATCCCTCACTGCATCGTTGATATCATGTAATCGTTTGAGAACTGAATACATAGATGTATGCTCACCATCTTGACCAATGCAGGCGCCATTGTGGAGAGTGCAGAACTCGCCCACCGAACAATTGCTCAAAACAACATTGTACCTGCACACACATCAACATCAAGCACACTCAGCTCACTACCAGCAAAATCAAATCACCAAATCAAACAGAATTCCCCCCTTTGTATTCAGATCGAATCGTAGATTAGAAACACCATTACCAGATCCTGGTTGACTGACCGATGGACACGGAGGGCCCGACCACGGCTCCCGAGCCGACGACGACATCCTTGCCAAGAACGGCGCCGGAGTGCACGACGGCGCCGGCCTCCACCACCGCGGTGGGGTCAACGGACGCGGCCCTGTGCAAGACGCCCCCGCCGTTGTGCCACGGGACGAACTCCCCCGAAGCAACCGCCGCATCTGGAAACATCCAAGAAGAAGCTAAGCTAAGCTAACTCAAGATCAAGACGGGAAGCATATATAGGAGAATATAAGTTGATTGCTACCGGAGGAAGCAGCGGAGGCGCCGCCGAGGAACCGCGCGAGGCGAGCGGCGTGGCGCGGTGGTGCGGAGAGCCGGAACACCGCCGCCGCCGCCATGGGAGCCGCGGTTCTGCGCAGAGCGGCCGCCATGTCTAACAACGGCGGCGATTCAAGGTTTGAGCGCGGCGTTCGCCGGCGGCGCGGGTAGGTGGGTCTGGGGACTCGGCTTTCAGGCCCATGGGTGGGCAAGGAGATGGGCCAGCGTGCTGGGCTAAGAGGAGAGAAAATTGGGCTGGCCTTCAGCCTGTAGAATAAAGAAGACAAAATTGGTTATATAGCATCAATGTTCACGTTTTTTTATTTTATAGTATCGAAAGATACCGGTTCACTTTAATAGCATCTAAAGTCCACATTGTTTTCCGTCCGTCTTGATTGCTATTGACTCAGCCACGCACACGGTATGATGTCTCTACCCCTCATTGCCATGTATTCTACTCGGGTACTATTAAAGTGAACCGGTATCTTTCGGTGCTATAAAACCAAAAACGTGAACTTTAGATGCTACTATATAACCAATTTTCCCAATATAGAAATGAAGGAATGCCATAAGCCTATAATAACTTATTGAGTGGAGGAATTAAAAAAAAAGAAAAAAGGGGAGGATGAAAAAGGAAAGGGGGAGAAAAAACTATTCCCTTTCTTAAAATGTGCCTTCTTCGTGTTTGAAATTTGGTATGAAATTATTGACGAAGAATTTGATCTAAAATATAAAAACTTCTAGTGTGCTACTTCTCATAAATCACTTGTTTATTTTTACCTAATGTTATCCGCAATGCACCCTTCCAGGCTTCCACTCCCCATCCCCTCATTTAGTGACATTATATCACTTTTCTTTTAACCTTAATTCCTCCGAAAAGACCCCAAAAGTCTTTTTATGGAGTATATTGGAAGGAGTGAGTAATAATTATTTCGTTTATTATTATGATTATTAGTTAAATTTGAATTATAGAACTTATTTTTGAATTTGAATTTTTGGTTCTTTCATCGTAGTGTATTTTATAGCATTTATTTTTTAGTCGCTAAGGACACATATGTATAAGTTTTACTCATAAATAATTTTTTATTTAATAATAAGCTATTTGGATAAGCATATGAATAAGCGAAACAATGTGGCTGGAGGAGTGGAAAGAGTTTAGATAAATTTCTAAAATTCCTTTATTTTCAAATATAGAAACTGTTAGAAATTGAAACTAAAACCGAAAGAAAAGAAACTAGAAGTGTGACAAACACACAAAAAAAAACCAGTGACGAGGCCCACAGATTCATGAAAATGGAGAAAGCAGCATGAAACTTTAGTCCGCACTCGCCCCACCGAGCGAAAAGTTATTCAAGCCCACAGATTCACAGGTCTTTCATGTGGTTGAAGGAATCTCACGGAAATTAAACTTAGGGCTTGCTTAGTTGGCAAAACATTTACCCATACATGTTACATCGGATATACGGATACACATTTGAATTATTACACGTAGTCTAATAACAAAATAAATTACAGATTTCGCCAGGAAACTGTGAAACAAATTTATTAAGCCTAATTAATCCATCATTAGTAAATATTTACTTAGCACCACATTGTTAAATCATGACGCAATTAGGCTTAAATAATTTATCTCGCAATTTCTCGGCGAACTGTGTAATTGGTTTTTTTCTACTTTTAATACTTCATGTATGTGTTAAATATTCGATGTGACAGTATGAAAAATTTTGTTTGGGAAGTAAACATGCCCTTAAGAAAATCTGTAGTACGATCCAAATGAGCCCATCCACAAAGGAATACTTTAGGAGTTAGGACGGCTGACAAAAGTGATCAGGCATAGAAAAATGGACGAATCAACTAAAATATAAATAACCCTTTGCATTTATATTATTAGTGATTTAAAAACTAGTGATGTAAAATAGACTAAAGAAAATTCCAAAATTAATTTTAAAATTACATTTCGGTTGGCTACGGCTGATAAGCCAATATAACAAAATACAGACATTAACGTTGATACTCCCTCAATCTTAAAATAGAGTAACATAGTACTAGCATACGCACACTTTAGGACAAAATATAGGAATTCATGGCAATAGTAGGTTATAGGCTGTATATGTTACTATATTTTACTCTTCCCGTTGTAAAACATAGGGATTATGATGTGTCTTCGTTAATTTTGGTTAATAACTTAATATATTTTAGGATGGAGGGGTAGAAGTTGTAGAACGGTGAAAGTGGTTAAGGGTAAGTACTATGAGCATCCAAGCACAATCTTTTAGATGTCACATAAGCTAAAATAGTGAGGTGGAGGAGAGAAGAGATGAGAGAGATAAGCAGCCACCTCTCATGCAAGAGGCAACCACTGTATAAAATTCAAGACAAAAGGAGAGAGGGGAAGAGTAGACTGGACAAACAAACATTGGGGCTAATGTATTAAAATTAGTATAGATGTGATATATTGTACATGTTACCTCTACATTTATTAGTTGATGATGTGGTCAAGATTAGATACAACATCCACCTCTTTTATAAAACTTGCCCTAAGATTGATATTTTATTTTGAAGGAGGGAGTACACAGTGGGTCTGTTCTGTTATTATTTTTCACGGCTGCGGCACAGCCGACACGAACAGAGCCGTACTCAGTGTGCGCAGCTGCAACCGCAGCCGCAGCCATGGTAGCCGACCTACCGAACGCTCCCGTTGATGGTCTTAAGGCTGTGTTTGGGAGGAGCCGACACGTAAAACGAAGTACGTATTATTACATGATTAACTAAATATTAATTATTTTTTAATTTAAAAGGATTAATATGATTTTTTAAAACAACTTTCGTGTAGAAATTTTTTATAAAAACACACAGTTTAGCAGTTTGAAAAATATGTGTGTGAAAAATGAGGGAGGTGAGTTAGAAAATCTGGGGGAAGAACACGGCCTAGGCGGTCAGCAGCGAATTTTGGTGAGCAGTGTTGGTCGGCAGCGTGCTCTGGATTATGGATGAAACTGGTTCGGATAGTTTCCGTCTGTCCGGACCATTTTTCGGATTCGGATAGTTTCGGTCGGAATTATCCGGAAATTATCGGATTCGGAAACGAATTCGGATATTTTTTTCTCGGAAACGAAAACGAATACAATAAGGGTACTATCCGTCGGAATCAGAAAACGGTCGGAAACTATCCAGAATTTTTTTCGGATATCCACAAACATTGAACAAATTTTAGAAAAAACACGTATATATACATAACTTTTTCATACGAAATCGGATGAAGATAAACTTTATATCAATATTGTAGAGCTCGATGAGATCTACAACTTTATTATTGACTATTTTATTATTTGAGGTCATTTAAGGGTCTAAATATTCATTATAATATACCATATTAATTTTACAAAATCTTAGATCTACAATTCAAACGACATCTGATGGAGATGTGTTCCATATCAAAATTGTAGAGCTTAATGGGATCTACCACTTTGTAGTTTATAACATTTGTATTTGAAGGCATTTAAAGTATAATACAAACATTACAAGTTTTGAAGATGTGAAGTAAAATAAATAACATCTCTAATTTATACAATGGTAAGTAAGTTATATATCTAGTAAAAGGTCTTGGGAATAGAAAATAATAATCATATTTGCATATGGTCTTAGAGGAAATCGATTATCACATACGGTTGTGGGACCGTCTACAAAATTGACGATATAAATGTTGGAGATGTTGAACTAAAATAATAAGTGATATCTCTTCCTTGATCAAGAAACTCAATTTGAGGGGTTTTTTATATACCGGTAAATATTCGCTACCGTATTCGTTCCGTCTCGTATTCGCTCCGTATCTGTATTCGATAATATTCGATTTCATTTCTAATTAAAAAAAATAATAAAACTAGTTTTCGTCCGTTTTCGATCCGTTTTCATCCCTCTGATGCCGCCGGCACGAGCGGAAAGGTCCCTGCACAGCACAGCACTACACCTCCGCTGGTAGGGTAGCCACACGTCCGTCTTGCCATCTTGGTGTGCCTTGGTGCTTCTGACACGTAGGCCACCGAGTGAGCATTTTATATTTTCTACTTACCTTTCGGCAACGATTTCTTTTTAGTTTATTTATTATTATCACTCCTCACATGCACATGTCACTCCTGTTGTTTATGTTACTCCTATATAACATCATCCATTGTACAGTACTAGTACCATGTGGATTTTTTTATTTTTTTAGACTTTTTTATTTTAAATTTTATTAATAGACGTTTCTAAAAAGTATTTCCAAATCAGAATCCCGTGGCCAAATAACTTTGTCAAGACAGTGTTGTTAGCTAGCGTGACATTCAATTTTCAGAAATACTTTTTAAAAAGATCTATTAATAAAATTAAAAAAATAAAAAAATTATACCACATGTCAATGTGTGTTCTTCCGATAATGCTTGCTAGTACAGCAAGCAGCAACCTTAGCACGGAAGAAATGATGAATTCCACAGGATGGATTATGGTTTCTTCGGTACTAGTAGTAATTCCTGTTTGAGGATTTTTCACAAAATTATGAGTTTCTCCGGCTCTAATTTAAAGAGCAGAAAAGTTCAACAAAAGCATATGATATACCAACTTGACTACGCAATCAGCAGGCAGCATCTATTCCTTGCAACAAAAGAATGTACCAGTACTGTTCCATCCAGATCCGGGCATCTCACATTGTCATTGTCAGCTCCTCCACAATTAAGCAACCTAGCCTTAATCATCTGCGCTTCCCAACGCCCAATTTGTTCGGTAGTGATAAAAATAAAAATACAGGAAACTATTAAAACACTACTAATTGAGTTTTAATTTTTTTTTAAAAAATAAATTTATCTAAATATTTTAAAATAATTTCTATATATAAAGTTTTTGTACAAAATATATCAGCTGTTTAAGAAACATGTTAAGAGACACCCAAATAAAATAAATCTGACGTGTGTCTCTCTTTCTTCTTGTTGCTTCTTGCAAGTTAAACCAAACCAACCCAAACCAAAGCAGCAGCAGCCAGCAGGAACAGCAAATTAAATTTGTCCAATTAATGCCATGTTTAGTTTCAAGATTTTTCTTTAAACTCTAACTTTTCCATCCAAACTTTACTACGTATAAACTTTTAACTTTTTACTACACACAAACTTCCAATTTTTCTATCACATCGTTTCACTTTCAACCAAACTATCAATTTTGGGTGAACTAAACACAGCTTTTTTTTTCCTGGTT